AACATCCCCCCATGAGGAAAGCCTTCCTTTCGAGAGGATTCTATCTTTCCATTTTTTTCCTACGGAGCCGTTTTGTCGGGGGGTCCTGCAGCGTAAACTGCACATTTTGCCAACTTCTCTTGAGCTTCGTATTGCTCTAGCATGTTGTATCATAGCTCGAGAGGCCTACAAAGATGCCTCTCAATGCCCTCAACCACCTCGAAAAAACGGAATGCAAATCCATGATGTCTACATCAAGTTTTAGGGTTTTGCCGTCTTAATACCGTACTAATCCTGAACTCGGAAGTGTCGCGACATCCAACGGGACTCGCGAAAGTCACAGACTCATAGCTTATTGCCCGATCTTTGGTTTGCATGGCCGCTACAGAAGCCCTTACTTTGACGTGAGATTGAATCCTCATCGGCGGGATTCGGGTTCGACCGTTTCGTGTGTCCACTGTCGGGGACCGGGGTGAGCGTGTATACCGTAGGTACCGTACACTGGGTAAGTGGTGACTGTACAGAAACACTTACAGAACTTCAGAAGGTGAGGTACGTGTACAACTCCCGGTATCGTTGTACGGCACTTTCCCACTAGCTTGAGTACCAGGTACAGTGACCGGTCTGCCCACATACCGGGTATGTTCTATGTCTACCATATACCATACCCACCTGCTAGGTACTTACTACCGGTAGGTACAGGTACCCTCTCACTAGTACTAGTAGGTACCTGCGTACCGTAGGTAACATCAACAGCGCCACGTTGGGTGGGCAGGTAGGTACCGTAAGTAAGTACCTGGGTACTGGCAAGCACCGGCTAGCATGGTACCTACCTGCTGCGGAGGAACCGAACCTGTACACGCCGGACGTGGCGTCGCTACTCCGATAACTCTCGTGTGACCGAAGAGCCGTGTGACCCAAGATAGGCACCCGGGAGACGGGTGGGGTTGGTATGGTGGTTAGGGTGGTTGGGGTGCGGAGTGGGTGATTATTTGTGTTAGGGTTTTAGTTTGAAGTGCCCGGGTAACTCGTATCTCAGGTTACACGCCCGTTAGGTCACACGAGAGTTACCGGTATGGCGTCGCTCAGTCCCCGATACCGTATGTACGCATTTTGAACACCATGGTCCATACCGTATTAATGTTAATGCATGCCTATTATTTACCTACTGTTACCTTAAAAAGGTATCTCTTAAAACCGTAGAGGAATGTTGTACATGTGATGCCCCGGGCAACACACAAAACCTAGGGTAAAGTAACCGACCGACCCTAATGTCACTTGGGAAATGCCCGGTTGTCACCCGGCAGCTCCCGGCTGCTTGCGAGACCCTAATGTTAGAGGGGCCTGCTTGTCTCCCGGTTGCTTGCAATACCTGATGTCCCAGGGTACTTCTCGGGTACGCACCGCGCAGCGCGGGGTACGACCGCGCAGAATCCGCCCACCACCCAAGTTACTGTCCTCCAATAGGTACACGAAATAGTACCTTATAGGTACGGTAGGTCACAACGCCTTATACCGGTAGGTAGGTATTGAACTTTATCGAGTCTTATGCGTGATAAGTCTCGAGTTTATGTTGAGTTTGGTGTTGAGTTAGATCAGTTCCCCGGGCACCAAAAAACTAAAATCCTAAACCCAAATTTACATGCTCCGCACCCGTACCCACCCTAAACCCCCAAACCAACCCCACCCGTCCCCCGGGCATGACCTAAGTAAACATAGCGCCGAATCTCTAACATAAAATCGAGACTACTTTATGCGTTGTACTTGCACCAATCAGACGGGCAACCGGGTGCAACACGGGCGATAGCTACTGCACTGCTATGTACAATCCCCGGCAGGACTCTCCATGAACCAGTATACCGGTGTGTGAATCGTACAGCGTAGTGCGCACATACTGCGCAGTGCTTTGATGAAGTTTGCGCCCCTACCGGTATACTGGGTACTACGAGCCGTAGGGTCCGAGACTTCAGCGTTCGACACGGAATTTTGATTTCGTCGGCTCCCAGGCCGACTGTTCTCCGGTCAGTCGGCTGAACCTCTGAACCGGTCAGCTTGTGTCAACCAAACACCTAAATTCTGCCTCGATTCTGTCCGCTTTTCGGCCGACGCCCCTCGATTGAGTCGGCCGGGTGGCAATTTCGTCGGCTGACGTTTGCCTGGGTGTGACGGCTCGTGTCGAACACTTGTCTGAGTAGCTAGGCAATAAAGGATAAATCTCTCAGTTTTTACGTCACAGTGCACACGATGACAATATGATTTCACAGTACGTGTATCGAGAATTAATTATTGGAAACAATTCTCCGAGCACCGCCGGAATTGTCGTCCCACGGTATCAGTAAGTACATGGTAGACTCACGTACGGTAAGCTCATTACCGCAGCTGCTATGGAGCTAACGGCCGTCACTGTTATTGGCGATACCTACTGTGATTGACGCAGCTCTCGACATCCTACGGGCTAGGCTACGTCCCCTCCGGCAAGATTTGAACCTGCTATTACGTCACAGCTTATATTGGCAAACGACCTTGTTTCCGACCCTGCGTTCGGTGAGCTAGGTTCAAATAGTCAGCCCGTGAGCTGATTCGGAAGCCAGGAGTTATTCCAGCAGCATTTGCAAACGCGACGCCAGAGCGCCTCTCGCGGAACCGCTGTTGGCCTCCTCTCTCCCTTCCGGAATGGCGGCCCTCCGCGTGTTCCTTCTCGCTGCCGTGTGCATCTTCGGCGCGGCTTCCGCGGAGCTCTTCGGTGCGCAGCCCGATGGCGGTCTGTACATCACTCCCGACGTGCTCAACAACTGCAAGTCTCTTCCCGGGACCGCTGCCGATGGCTCTGGAAACGCGATGCTCCTCACGGCGACAGGCTCGGTGACGGATATCAAGGAGGAGGGTACGGACTTGGGCGATTGTTGCCCCCTTCCCTACAAGGGCACCCCTGCGGTAAGTGACTGTTCTTCTTGAGCTCACTGCAAAGTCTCCTTACTCTGGTTACTGCTGCACCTTTTACTTTCAACCGGAAGGGAGTAATGCTGCCTCCATTTATGATGTTGACATTTTCTCTGTCTCTTTTAGAAGACTAAGGGCACATGTTGTGCACACACTACTGTCTCTTTAGCCACCTCCTCGTCTTTTCCTATAGAGGGCAATGCTGTCCAGTCTTCTCCCCCTGACTCTTACTGCCAAATTGCTGTACAATGCTCTCAGGAATGATCGAAACTTTAAAGGGTTGGTTGCCTTGTCTTTCACTTGGCTTCAGTGGCGCTGTTCTTGGATTTACAACGCAGGAAGTGTCATTTTGTGTTCGAGGTGATGGAAGTGTTCGTACCTTTTTGAGACCTGAAGATGTACGTTACTTGAACTGAATCTTGAAAGTACACACTTCATTGCGAAGTCGGTTACGAACCAAATTCAAGAGCCCCAGAGCAAACAAGGGAGCATGGAATCCACTGCTGGGGTTGGACTGTACATGATGTGGAGAGCATGGGTGGGCCTGAAGAGGAGTGTTGAATCTTTACGATGGTGCCTGACAGTTTGTGTGATTGAATCCAAGGTTCTAATATGAAAGGGATGAGTGCGCAGACATGGCTAATGGGAGCTCGATTGTACCTAAGGACTGTGCGTGGAGGTTTGAACCTCAGAGGGAGGCTCAAAATGTTTCTTTCTCACCCTGCCACGTGTGAACAGCCAGGCTGGTCTAGTTGTTTCATTCTCATGTGGAAGCCAAGAAAAGAACTCGGTGCTACTGTTGGGCCGCCTGAAGGACTTCTCTGAGGAACCTTGTCAGCAACATTCTGCTGGGGCTGTGGAAAGTCTTCCAGCTGTCTCATGATCCTGCATCTCCCCAATAGGGGCTGAGTCCTTGTGCTTGAAAGTGCTCTGCCCAGCAGACTGTCCCCTTCCTTGCGGCCCTGTCCCTGTCATCCTTAAGCCTGCTTGTTGGAGAAGCATCCAAACAATCTTGTCCTCCATGAGACAAAGACAGCTTTTTCAGCTTCTGACCAAAGAAGATTCACAAGAAGAGCAGTCTAGTCACTACTTCCAGGAGTATCTTTGCTTTTTCTCCAGACTTGGCAATGCAAACCAGCACCTGTAAGAACTGCTTGCCTGAGCTGTAGCATCTGTGCCGGCCCTAAGTCCAACTTCCTCTATGAAGGTCAAACTTTCTGGTTGATTCTATATTGCTCCTCAGAAAGTATGACGCACTTGCCCTCAGATGCTGGTTGACGATTTGCTTAGGTTAGCACATACTGGTTTCTTCCCCAATGAACAGCCATAAATGTCGTCTGCCTTTCTCGGATTAGAACCACTGTTGACACACCATTCCCATTGGCCCCTTCGCTTGTCTTGTGGAGAGTTGATAAAGCTGATTCAAACTTGTGGCCCTCCAAGAAAACTTCTGACCAACTTTGTGCTGCCTAACTCTAGCATTGCTTTCAAGGATCCTCCAGCTCAATGGAGGCTCCTAGACCTTTACAATGCTCTAGCTCTTCATCAAACCTGCCAAAGGTTTACTGTCACTGACCGGGCTTCCAAACTCTTGCAGAAATTCACCCCGGACTCCAGCAAGCCCCTCAACGTCCGCCGCTCATGGCTCGAGGTTCAGAACGACCCCGTCTACATGGCTAAGCTGGCCAAGGGCTTCCAAATGATGAGGGATCTGGATGGCAACTCCAAGAGCCCCAACAGTCTCAAGAACCAGGCTAGGGTAAGAACCAGTCTTCTAAGTCTTGCCAAACATGTTTTGACAGCCTGCAAACCAGAGTCTCACCAACCACAAATGGCAGATTAGAGGAAGCCAGCGCTGTGTCAAGCTCAAGCACATCTGGTTAACAGCCTTCAACCAGGTTTGGCTGGCTTTGAGCCAGAGTTGGCCGTATTGTGATCCTTCAAGTTCCTATGCTTACGAAACAAATTGGGATCGGCTGTATATGTGATCCTTGATTTTCTACTTTAGGAAAAAGCAGCAAGAGCCAGATAGTATCTTTTCCTAACCAGATCTAGTAAGCAGATTCTTCTAGGATCTGATCTGAACAAGAGGACAAATGCTGAGCAAGAGCTGAGCAAGTCTGACGTCTGAACTTTTTGGCTTTGTCCGAAAAGTGACTGCTTTTGAAAGCTCCCTTGCTTTGCGGAACTCCTTTATTTTGCCAAACACCCTTGTTCTTAAACTAGTAATCTGCTTCTACTTTTCTGTAAAAATCGTTTTTCTCTTTCAATGTCAAAACTTGTCTGGTATTCTCAGATCCTTTGCAGCCACAAAATCCATGCCTACTTCGAACCTGCTTCGACTTTCTCTCTGAGCTCAAACTTACAATACAAATCACCATTTACATGTCCCAGATACACAGGGAAGACAGCAGCTCGGGGAGTCCCCACTTTTTTGCATCTCAGATCGAGGTCTTTGAAAAAGAAAGAGCTCTACAAAGCAGAATTTCCAGACAAACCATTGCGGATTGGCCAAATCAGCATCTGTGACCGGTTGCTTTGTCCATTCTCTGATGCTTCCACTTGACAAAATGACCGCTACGACTGCTGATTCGTTCTCAGCAAAGTCCACGCATTGTAACACAGCATTGCACCAAAGCTCGACCTAACTAAGAGTTGCACCGAACCAGGTTTTTTGCACTTGTTGCACCATTGCTGAGGCCCAAGACAGCTGAAATCGCCTGATCCAGCAAGAATGTGCAGACAGCCTCGCAAGCAGATTTTATTCAATTCGACAGTTAACGACTTCGAAGAAAACCCTTGTTGGTCAAGTTCCCAAACCATAACAAAGCTCTCAAACGGTTCGCAGATGCACTGCACCACGGTGAAGTCCCAGCGCTACATCGATCACTAACCTCCTTTCACCTCATCAAATCCAGGTTTTTCATCAGAAAGAAAAGCGCATACCTTTCAGCTGTTTAACCCTCTTCTTCAATCTGTTTTCAGGTGCACTGCGTCCACTGCACGACTTCCAAGACCCAGGGCTACATCCACAACGGGTGGCACTTCCTGCCGTGGCATCGCGCCGAGATCTACTATTTCGAGCAGTCCATGCAGTACTTGCTCCAGGACCCCACCTTCGCCATGCCCTACTGGGAGTGGGACAACCCGGCCGGCAAGTTTGCTCTCCGCTCTAGTTCGGCTTTTACGATTTTCCTTTTCCTCATTCTCAGCTCTGTCTCGTCATGTTAGCTTCGAGCAGTCAATGCTCCAGGACCCCACCTTCGCCGTATTCTATGGAGTTGGATAACCGTGCCAGCAGGTTTTGTCTCGGCACTAGTTCCTTCTACGGAATTCTTCATTTTCATCTTCCGGTTCTGTCCGGTCTTCGAGCAGTCCAAAGCCAATGTTCCTCTGGAAAGTGGGCCAACTCTGATGGCAAAATTCTTCCAGCTTTAGTTGGTTTGGAAATTGTCCATTCTGGTCTTCCGCTCTATAGAACCAAATCTGCTTTCTTGCAAAACCTGAATGACAAGGAAGCTTTGCATTTGTCTTTCTTTGCATTGCTTTATTTTTTTGACCAAAGAAGTACGCGTTTCAACAATTCGTTGCCAAGCAACAAGTTTTCATGTCAACAACTTATCCTTCAATCAAAGAATTCGATTAGAAAGCACGAGTCATACGAGTTTTGCGTGGGGTTTTTGCTGCTTTCCTGATGATCGCGACCCAACCTGTTCCTTCGCTGAAAGATCCACGGGTCTCCATCTTGGCAGACATTCCCAACTTACCGAGCTGCACTTTCGGGACCAGCTTATTCTACGCCCTTTTTCACACTCGTGGCTTACGGCTTTTTCACACTCTTTGGCCGACGGGCTTATTCACACTCAGCCAGGCACTTGGCTGCTCCCTCAGTACCTGGACAGCAAGTCCGCCCCCGGGGACAGCAAGCGTACCCAGAACTACTTGTGGGTGACAAACCTATTCCTATTCACACTCGTTGATGAAACGCATATTCACACTCGTTGACTGACGGGCTTATTCACACTCATTCAGGCACCTGGCTGCTCCCCCAGTACCTGGACAGCAAATCCGCCCTGTGGGACAGCAAGCGTACCCAGAACCAGTCTGCGGGCATCTCCCTCATGAAGCGGTACAACTCCCCCGAGGAGACCTACAAGGCGATGACCGGCATCAATGACCCGTACCTCTTCCACGGTCTGAACGACCCCACCGTCGTAAGTTCTTTTCGGGGACATTTCGGTTGTGAAGAAGATGCGCAACGGTACTTTTGGTATATATATGGTCAGCTTAGAAACAAATTCAAGCGCGTGCCCTGAAAATGGTTTCGTCTGAAGGCTCGTATGAAGGCTCGTATTATATTGGACTCGGCTTTGTGTTGAGCCTGCGTGTTGCTAAATCGCGCCTGTTGCTAAGTCACCGTTTCAGAAAGACTCCGGCCGAGCGCTTTTTGGTCGTCGCTTATTCAGCTCGTCAAAGAAATCGAGCTTTTTCCTGAAGGACCCGAGTTTGACAGCTGTAGGTTCATTCGTCTCCAACGATGCTTCTGAAGATGCCCTCCTGGAAAGTTCCCTTTTTCATTGTTTCTTCGACTGTGATGGACGCTGGTGTTTGACCCAGAAGAACCCTCCGCCGAGTCTCTGTGGGGAGACGAAAGACCCCGCTCATAGCTAATCTCTTCGTTTTGACCCACTTCAATTGAACAGGCCTGAATTTCCCCTTCCCAAAGTTTAGCAGATACTTACTGCGTTCTTGCCGATCTTCGAGTCCCCCGCCCCTAGGAGCTTCGTAAACCGGGGCGCCTGGCCAATTTAAATTAACCCTCGTTGCTCGTTTTGAAGCCCCACTTAACCCTCCGTTTGTTCCCTCCGGTTTGCAGAGCAGCTACGGCAACCAGAGCACCCTGGAGGTCCTCCACGGGTGGCCCCCCAGCCTAGTTGGTGCCCCGGCGCAGATCCACCTTAAACATTCGTTAACTTCAATCAACTTTTGTGAACTCTTAACTAACCCTCCGTTTGTTCCCCCGGTTTGCAGAGCAGCTACGGCAACCAGGGCACCCTGGAGATCCTCCACGGGTGGCCCCACAGCGCGGTCGGCGCGCAGGCGCAGTTCCAGCCCGGCCTCGACCCGGAGCTCTTCCCCGAGTCCGGCACGTGCGCCACGTGCCGCTTCCACGACATGGGCTCCTTCACCACCTCCGGCTGGGACCCCGCCTTCTGGTCTCACCACTACAACATTGTACGTAGTTTCTATCGTTCAATTTGTCCTTCTTTGTTGTTTGGTTAACTCGTCGCATTCTTTTTCAGTCGCTCCAACAGTCTTTCGAGCTCGACTTCTTTTCAATTCGCCTCAGTGGAGCTTGCGCAAACAATCTTGCACGAAGTCCGCCCGTAAAGGCTAGTTGCTCAAGCCTTCTGGTCTCACCACTACAACATTGTACGTATGTACCGCGAAATTTGCGGAATCGTCCTTTTTTGCTCGGGTTGTCGAGCTTGCGCTAAGAAATTTGCACGAAGTTTGACCTTTTTTGCACGGGTTGTCGAGCTCGCGCTAAGAGTTTTGCACTAAGTTTGACCGTGGAGGCTGATCCAAGCTTCTGCAAAATTCGTCCTTTTTTTCTCGGGTCATCAAGCTTCGGCTGGGATTCCGCCATCGGGATCACCAACTACAACATTCTACGTACCCGGAATAGCTTCAAAACTTGTCCTTTCTATCTTATCTGTCTGATCCATCTCAAATAGGTTCAAAAGTAAGTCTGAAATCATCCATTTATTTGATTTCGCTCGTCAAGCTTGCGCAAACAATTCTTGCACGAATTTCGTCGGCTGAAGTCTGATCCTTCTTTCGGTCGATGCTAGGATTGCCGCACGTTCCTTGGACGTTTCCGCTGTTTGCTTCTTACTTCTTCTCATCACTGGCGCTCCTGAACCCTGTTGTTTGCGTGCTGCTTTCCATCTCCTCAATCCGACTCGAACCCTGGTTCAGCGCTCTGGCTTCCTCGCAGATCGCAGAATTTTAGAATCCACGTCAATGTTGAACTCGATTACGTGCCTGTCTCCTCATCCCCTTGCGACCTCAGGTTATTATTCTTAAAACCGCACACTCTAACCCGTTTTCTGCCCGCAGGACCGTCTCTGGGAGGAGTGGCTGAAGCAGCCTAACCCCAACACCACCTCGGGCGTCAACGAGAACTTCGACGAACCCGCGTGGCTCGAGTCGACCTACACCTTCTACCGCGCGGACGGGGTTATGGAAACCATCCAGGTTAAGGACGTCCTCGACACCAAGAACCTGGGCTACGTGTACTCGCCCGCGCTCAACAGCTGGAACGCCACCAACTCCGTCAAGTCCGGCGTCGCCGGGCGCGTCGCGGCCGCGGCCGCGGCCGCCGCACCCGCGGGCGCCCGCAAGCTGCTCCAGTCCGCGGAGCTCCCGCCCGCGCTCACGGTCGACGAGCTGCTCGCGCAGGTACGTCTCGATCTGATTACAGTATTCCGAGTTCTGAAAGAACTCTGAAGCAAGTACTTCTCCGATGTTAACAGTAAATACTTGTCCTAAGCAGGATTTATAGCAGGTATGTATACATCTCACATGACGTATACCTCTCACATCTCAGTGTTTCGTTACAGCTTCGTTCTTTGTGAAACTCTAAACCCAAAAGGTTTGCGTGCTCCACAGTGCACCGACTGTACTGTAACCCACCGAAACCCTCTGTCTAACCCGACTCGTCCCAGCACTGGCTTCTTCTGGTTTCCCCAAGCTTATCACTGTAAACTCGTGCAGTACCCTGAGAAGGAGTACACGTACGGCGAGCTGACTCCGAAGCTGGAGGCCCCGGTGCACATCGGGAGGGGCATCTCCCACTGGCGCATCAAGCGCACGCCGACCACGATCGTCGGCGCGCAGGAGATCCTCATCTTCTCCAACATCTCCGCCCGCATGGACGAGCGTTCCATCATCGAGGTAAGGGACAGCAGAAATACACGACCAAACAATCGATCAATAAGGTAAATGACAGAGAAAACAATAACAGACAGCAGAGCTACACGACCAAACAATCAATCAATAAGGTAAATGACAAAGAAAACAATCACAGACAACCATCGAGGTAAGAATCTAGAGAAATAGATTGTGCTTAATAGTGCCGGAGCATCCATCATCTCCAGGCAAGGCCCGTAAAAGTTGTTCGGGAGCGCCACGGCGACTCTAAAATCTCCTTCCTCGTTGCTATACTTTGATCGAGCCATCGTAGCATGTTTACAAAGGCCGGACGTCCGCAAGGCCTCGCACCTAGTTTGCCCTTTGTCCTGCGCGTTTGTGGTCTTCGCACCCTTCCGTTGAAGCTTGGCTTTGATCTCGTCACTGGGTTCAGAGTTGTCGCCGTCCGTTCTTCGTTTTTGATGAACTTTGTTTTGACCCGACTGAAAAACCATCTCCTGTCAAGAGAGAACGGCTTTGGCCTGATCAAGCAGAAGACTGACCGTAGGCATGCTGACGATAGCAGGTGTGATTCAAGCAGCCGAGCGTTGACTAACGCTGTGATCGAGAAACCGAACGTGGACTGAAGAGAACGACTTCCGCCTAACGACGCTGAAAAAATGTTGCAGGGTTGTATAAGGTCGTAGGGTTCTATTTCGGGCTTTCCGGGTGTAGTCCATTTCCGCTAAGGTTGTGCGCTGACGTTGGCAGGTGTGGATCAACAAGCCGAACGTGACGATCAAGGACAAGCTGAGCTGGCACTACGCGGGGGCTTTGACCCAGATCCCTATGTCCCCCAACAGCAACAACGTCCTCTCCACACAGCTCTACTCCACCGCCAAGAACCGCCCCCTGCAGGTAACCCGCGCTTTGTTGCGCCGCATGCTGGGTTGTACGTGTCTTTTCAGAGCGTTGACCCCGGCCAAACCGTGTGTTTTGCGTGCGTTTTCAGAGCTTTGAAACCGAGTTTCTCCTGAAGCCGCTGAGCTCTGTCGGACTCTGACAAACAGTGCCTTCAGCACCGCTTAAGTTATTGCAACTGATAGATACTGTACGGTTGCGGCAATGCTTGACTTTTTTCGTCATCAAGAATCGAAGGGAAGATGTCCCGCCCTTAGCAGATAATCTACCCCCTGCTCAAGGCGACTACTTGTATGATTGTGTCATTGTGTCCAACTAACCCCCTGCTCTGCCCGCAGATCAACACCGATCTGATAATTTGGGCCTGCTCAAGGCGACCAATTGTTGTATGGTGTCAATGTCTAACTGACTGATTCCACTCCCCGCAGATTAACACCGATCTGTACCACCTGGGCCTGCTCAAGGCGACCAAGTGTTGTATGGTGTCAATGTCTAACTGACTGATTCCACTCCCCGCAGATTAACACCGATCTGTACAACCTGGGCCTGCTCAAGGCTACCGAGCTGCTCATTACGCTGGTCCCCGTCGAGTACTTTGTCGACGAGCAGAACAATGCGTTCCGCGCCGCGCCCCAGTTCAGCACCATCTCTCTGGGCGGAGCGGAAATCCATCAAGGAACCCTCAAGTCTTACTTCCAGAAGTAAAACTCGGTTAACTGGTTAACCCTCGTCGGAGGCGGAGAGGAAAACTTGGTTAAGTGGTCAACTTTCGTCGGCGAAAGTCAGGCGAAGAGTGCTTTGCTAACTGGACCGTAAGTTCAGCAGCACGGGTTGGTCGAGAGTCGTCGTCGTTGGAGCCCCCCGAGTCTTAGCGAACCGGGCGGGTTAGTAGTAGGGTTAGGGACGTGGTTTTCCAGTCCCCGGAGCGTGCGTAACCGGGCCGTTTAGTAAGGATAGAGATGGGGTATCAATCGCGGTCCGTGAAAGTGTTGGCAAGCACGTGGGAGGAAAGGGGCGCATCGATTTTCGCCCGTACAGTCTCCTTTCACCGCCGTCTGTTGTGCTCTGCAGAAGTTTCTTAGCGGTTATACGCCACTTGCATCCGTCAGCAATAAAGCGCAGGCGGTCATTGACCAAGTTGGAAGCAGGTGTTGTAAAACATTCGTTGCGCTGGTAGCAGGTCAAGTGGGTGCATTGCTAACGAGTTGCACGGTCGTGTGCTGTCATTGTTTCGGCTGAAGTACGGTATGCCAGGTGTCAGTCAAACCAAGACCATCTTTATTGTTGATGCAAGACCATATGTATTTATGTTCTGAGTTCAACGTCAGTCAATTTTCCCCTCTTCGAACAGATGTTGAATCTTACACATGAATGGCCCATGGTGAACGCTCCTTGTTTAGCGTGCTCGGACCCTAGATATGTTGACCCGCGTTGCAGGGCTAGGGGCCTGTCGCCAAGCTTCCTAGTATGGTATACGAAACCAGCTCGACAATCAGTCTTAGTATGCTCATTGATCTACACGCGCCTTCGCTTTGCATACCAAGAGTAATCAACCCTGTTCGGTCATCCATGAAAGCTAGACAGGGGGCCCTCCTCTTTTTGCAACTTCCAAGGTCATCATGTGCACACATGTACAAGAAGGGCGCAGCTACAGGCAAATTGCTGCAATATGCTGTTCAGGCGTACATGCATACTACATTTGGTCCATCAGCAATTAAGCGAATGCACATACTCAAAAGCTTTATATATATATCCGGCCCGCATAAACACCATGTACTAAGGACGGTTGCCGCGTGTGAAGGTATATTCCATATCTAAAGGTGTTGGCGCCGCGCGTTGACTGGCACCTACAACCCAATTATCACGCGCGCTCAGCGCGATCAGTCTCGCACGGCGCTGCGGCCAGAGTTACAAGGACATGCATGATAAGGGCAACATACAGAAAACATGATCATGACATGCAAGCACGATTCACATATCGATGCCGGTCAAAGGTCGGCCGCGCTGGCATTCGACAATCATTGCTGCGCTGCACACCGTCAACTAGTCATGCCGCGCTGCTCGTTTATAGTTTGTCTTCAAGAGATTTCGAGCCCAATTCGGTGGCACGTACAGTGTTTTAATGTGCCCGCTTTTCTATGAAAGTGACTTGAAGTCAAGGCCGGCCTTCTGGCAGCCGCCTTGGACTTCATGTCCAATTGTACGAAGCATGTCGCAGCTACTTACAATGCCACCCCATCTGCCAATGAGGTTTTAAGGAGAGCTACTAAGGTCCCAAGATAAGTCACTCTAGCGTGCAACTCCGAGACTCTCCGACTACCTCATCACTTGGATCAACCTCAAGAAAAACAATAGTAAGCCGAGACATTAGGAAGGTAACCGCACTGGGACGGGTAGCTAGGGTTAGTTTGGTAATTAGGGTGGTACGGGTGCGGAGCGGGTGTATTTCTGGGTTAGGGTTTTTATTATTAGTCGGAGCTTATAATTATCTTGGCTTACTAAGTTTCAGCTTTCTTGAGTTTTATAGTACTTTGTACCGTCCCGTCACAAGCGCCGGTTGACTTGCTAAGGCTCCTACTGTAATGATTGACAAGCTGGAGAGAACGCCAATGAAACCAAGCCTCCAACTATGTACGTCCACCGAATCGTTATTGGCAAAGCTCCTCATCAAGTCGACTGATCTTCTTCATTGCGTAAGTCTTCTGCAGCAAAGGAGTGCCATGTCAACGAGCTGACGTGTGCGCTTTGTCACCTGACGCCTTCGGGAGACCAGCAAAACCGCTCGTTCTTGTTGAGTGCCAAGAGCGACGCGACGTCCTCTCCTTCTAACTCGAAGTCGAAGTCGAAGACTCTCGCATTTTCCTCGATCCGCTCCTTCGTGACTGATTTTGGGATCACGACTGCAAGAGAACAGAAAGACTCCTGGAACGTCCGAAGATGCTGGGACAAAAGTAGCAGAAGGCGAACGTTGCAAAATCACACACCGAAAAGCCGTCAAGATTTCATAAACATCGCTGAGTCCTTCAGGCCAAGGACGGATTGGAACAGAATAAGGTCTAAGCTCTGTACGACCTTGGGCTCTAGAACCGGCCTAGTTCTTTGCAAGACCAGTTGCTTGCGAATCGGAAAACTGATTCTTCAGCAACCGAGGCCACTCGGAACAAGAAGACGTATGATATCATCCCTCCGACGTAACGGATAGAGGGAAGGCGTTGAAGCATGTGGCTCGAGGGAGACGTTGAGAATACCGGGTTTGATCGGCTTGTAGGTTTTCAATCTGTCACTCTCTGAAACAGGTTGCGGAGTGTGACAGGCTTCTGACTGTTTTTACAATTGGACTCCAAAACGCATTCTCTGCAAATAACCTTGCGCATATGACATTGTATCAAGGAAACGATCCAGCTTGTTCCTTTGTGAACACAAGTATTCTGGCACATAGATAACCCTGGTTACTGATGCCCCAGGTCTTCGTAATTCTCAAGAGCCTGAAAGACACCTAGCCCCTTCGCAATCCCAGAACTTCAAAACCTGTTCCAGCACCCATTTGCTTACTTAAAACCGCACCGCAAATTTTGGAGCACTTTGTCTCCTTCGAAACACAGGACCACGAATTCGTGGTTGTCAAAGCTAGACGAGATGTAGGAAGCAACATTTTGTAAAAAGCGTGATATCGGAACAGATCCGGACTTCCGACCCGCCCAAAGTACATTACTCACTCAGATTGGTTTGGAGCCCCCACCGCAGCAGGACCTGAGCGGGAGTACGTCCGAATTTGTGCGCCAACCGGACGACCGTGGCGTCCGAAAGGAGCTGCGAGAAAGGAAGAACTAGAGTCGGCTGCATTTCGTACCGTCGAGGGTAATTCAAGGCAAGGCGCTCAAGGGATTTCCGAGGGGCTGCGTCCGTATTTCGCGCCAACCGGACGACCGGACGACCGTGGCGTTCGAAAGGAGCTGTGAGAGATGCAGACCTAGGGTGGGCTCTGTTTTTATCACCGTTAAAAGGGTCAAAAAGCAAGGCGCTCAAGGGATGTCCAAGGGGACGCTGTGCTGCGTCCGTATTTCAGCGCCAACCGGACAACTGTGGCGTCCGAACCGAGCTGCGGAAAGAGAAAAGTAGAGCTGCATGTCGGACCGTTGGAAAGTACTGAAAGGCAAGGCGCTCAAGGGATGTCAATAGGGACACGGGGCTGCGTCCGTATTTTCGCGCTAACCGGACAACTGCGGCGTCCGAACGGAGCTGCAGGAACGCAAAAGTAGAGCTGCATGTCGGACCGTTGGAAAGCCTCCAACACCCCGGGCGCTTGTGCAGGGCTAAGAGGAACCCGGGCTCAAAGAACCCATCCCTGGGCTGAGTCACTTCCTCGGTCGCCGATCTGCTCCTAATGGTTCTGTTCAAGAAGAGTTGCAAGAGGCGAGACACTAAGATGAGATGCAATCTGAACTGTCCACGTGTGTTCGATTCCTGGGACGTTTACGGAGGGTTCCAAACGGGGAAAGACCGGATTCAAAACACCTTGTGACTTGAGCTGATTATCCTCGACGGTTGCTGATCCGGTTCCTTTTCCGTCTCGTTTGATAGGAGCTGACGGAAGTTCAAGGTGGGCTGCTTTTCGGACGGTCGGGCCAAAGTGTCCGAGTGGCGAGGCGCCCCAAGTCGTCAACGGGACGGCCCTTGGACGTCTTCAATTTGAGCTACTTCGCTTTCCTTGTTGCAAGTCGATTCACAGTGGCTGTTCGAGTGTCCGCTTGCAGCAGAGCTGTGCGGCGAGACGAAGAAGGTGCGCTGCTTCTCAAACGGTAAATATTATGGTCCGAAGCAGACAAAGAACGAAACGCGGGTAACTTTCAAGGTCTTGACGTCGCTTCCAAATGCAACGAGACGTTACGCGTACCGGTCCCTTTCTTCCTTGTACTCAAGAGGTGTTTGCAAGTTCTTTCAACTTTCCCTTTACCGCAACGTTTCTCACATCCGGCTAATCCGGTAAGTCGCACCCGCAATCTGACCTCGCCGCAGCGCAGCGGTATATGCCCTCCCACAAGAATGCCCACAAAAGTCAAAATGTTGAAAGCAATTTCCTGTTCTGGTTAGGATGTGCGGTGCTTAACATCAACAACGCTATCTTGCCGCAACCTAGGGGTGAATGCACTTTCACACAAATGTAATCGCTCACAAAAATGTCAAAAATGTAATTCGAATACCCCTCAAGTTCCGACCTGCGGTCATTTACACCAGTAGTCTTACCTCGCCGCAACTCGGGTGGATACGCCTCCACACACATGCCTTATCACGCAGACGTAAACGTTGTCGTAGACTTAGTAACTACTCTACCATGGACGTGCGGCTCTTCACACGAGCACTCTCACCTCGCCGCAAGCCCAGGGGTGAATACGCCTCCGACTCGATGCCCTTGCTCACAGTAATACCGAAGAATCGATTCTCGAATACCCCTCAGCTTCCAATCTGAAATTATTTACACAGTTAGTCTTACCTCGCCGCAGCCTAGGGGTGAATACGCCTCCACCCGGATGCCCTTGCTCGCGCAAAACTCCCGCAGCCCCTCTTGCGTGAGGTACGGGTGTACCTCGATCTGGTTCACTGCGGGCACTACGGACGATGCGGACAGCAGCTCCTCGAGGTGCGTCCGCAGGAAGTTGCTGACGCCGATCGAACGGCATCGGCCTGCAAAACGGAGTCAAATACTTCGTTCTCTCAGACTTTTTGGAACTGCACCTTGCGGTCTCAAAATGCTGAGGCTTCAACCTCGTTCAAATTTGGGAACTGCGGACGGTGCGGACAGCAGCTCTTTCACGGCGTCCGCAGGAAGTTGCTGACGCCAATCGAGCGGCATCTTCCTGCGAAAGGACATCTCGTTCATGTCTGGTGTCCTGACTCTACTCCTTGCGGTCTCAAAATGCTGAGGCTTCGATCTAATTTGCTTTCGAAACGGCGCACTATATGGACAGTAGCCCTTCTAGGTGCGTCGGCAGGAAGTTGCTGACGCCAATCGAGCGGCATCGGCCTGCGAAACGAAAGGTAGCGGACCCTAGGTCCTCCGTTTCAGGTTCTCAGATTACAGGCTTTTTTGATGATACTGTAACTATGTAGTACGAGGTTCTCGAACCTCGATAAGGAGTCCTTCGCAACATAAACGACAGACGATGCGGAGAGCAACTCCTCCATGTGGATCCGGACGGAATCACGGACGCCGATCGAAGGGCATCAGCCTGCGTCGTGCATGTCACTGGGTTCTCAGGCTTATCTACTAGGTTGGACGCTGTCTAGACAAGCACACATGTTCTTGTTCGACACCATCCGCTGACTCTAAATTTCAACCTTTGAATCCAGCACAACAGACGATGCGGACAGCAGCTCCTCCAGGTGCGTCCGCTTGAAGTCGCTGACACCAATTGAGCGGCAAACGGTCGCCGGGTTTCAAGGGTTTCGTCGAGAATCGGTAATCTGGATGTGGTAACTAGCGGTTCCAGTAATCTGCGGCGCCCCGTCAGTCAAACGGACGTCGCTAAGGACTGATGAAGGCCTCCGAAACAAGGTGGTAGAAGAGAAGGAGCAGAACCGGCTTGTGGTAATCGTGGAACTACCGAACGGGTGCAAAGCTGGGACGTTCTGCTATCCCATTTAACCACGTTCTAAATCACCGAAGAGCTTGTTACTGCTGACCCAAAAAACGCCATTCATCCTTCTCAGCAAGTAGACTTCGCAGCAATATCCAACGGTCTCGGTAACTTATCCAAGATCACAAGACAGGATCAGCCGTGCAAGATTCGTGGATCAGTCCGTTTGATCCCAATCGAGTCACTACCTAAACAGACTACATCCATCAGCCGACCACAGACTATGTATCCTTCATGATATCCCCAGACCATCGGGTTTAGGGTAACCCACTACAAACAAGAATAGTTCCTGAAAAATTCGTACCTTCTCGGAACGCCTCCTCCATGGCCCGCCACGTCTCATGCCGCAAGTGAACGTTCCGTTCTGACGTCACCGGAACGGAGGAAGCCCCGGGCCAGTGAACCAGATACAGATCCAAGTAGTCGGTCCCTAATCGTGTGAGGCTTTCTTGCAGGGCTTTGCGCGCCTTCTCGTACCTGTGGCCCTGGAAAGGGGGATGCTTTCAGAGGGTCGTTTTACCCCCCTGGAAAGATAAACTTCTGTTCCTGCTTTTCCACTCTTTCTAATTTGTGTACTCTGAGCACTGCCGATATTGGTACCTTGAGGGTCGTCGCTTATCAAGGACGAGTCTAAGCACTTGTCAAATGGGCAAGGACGAGTCTAATCCTGTCAAATGGGCAGAAATTAGCACGTCTAGAGCAGCCAGGAACCAAACACGGGAACAGCAAAGTCGAAGCAATGCATTACTGAGCAGACTCGAAACCGTCATGCACAGAACACGAAAACAGTTTGATTCTCTAGGATTCACGAGGACATGGCGCGCTGGCTCACCCTTGTTGATAGGGCGACACTTTGCTGGTGATAAAGAGACTCTCTCGGGCTACCCGAGAGTCTCGAATAGCTTCGGCGATATCCTCCTCATTCCTGTCACAAGAACAAGATTGGCCCCATTGAATATTGGTGCCTTCTTTTATTTCTCTCCGTTCTGTCCCCTTGAGGAGTTTGGCGCAACTCCTGGGCTTTCAGGTGCTTTCACGGGAGGAGCTACTATACTCCGCTTTCAATAATCTTCGCTCTTAGACTGAACCCCAGAACGGCTCTCCTCTCTGATTGGAGCCAGGATCAGAGTCCCTCATACCCTCATAGATTTGGGGGACATTTTTCTTAAACCGATGCAAACATTAGTGAGCCAAGCGACAGAATCGCGGATGGTATATGGGCAATAAAAAGACAGGGGGATTATAACACCACTTCAGCTCATTTTCATCAATCGGGCAAATCAGCAATCGCAAAACGCGTTGATGAACCAACGCAGTTCCAGCGCATGAAGTGTCGAGCCCATTGAGGGACTGTACTTTGCTCACCTGTAGATTGATGCCGTGTCGATATGTCGATACCTGCACAAATGGGACACAGTGATTTGCATCAGCACACAGAGATTGGCAGAGACGTCTAGTAGGCCAGCCAACCTGGTTCTCAGAAGAGACTTAGTCAGAACAAGCACCACAGGACCACTACCGTAAAATTTAACCTGAGACTGAACCAGAGACCGAACCAGAGGCTCAATCAGAGGCTCAACCAGACACAGGAAGCCTTTCTATGCACTGTAGAGCGCAAGTGTGAGGTGTGGACTTTCGCTGATTTGCTTGGTGCGAATGGGGGAGAGCTACGCGATTCGAAAATGTTGGTGTCCCAATCCAGAAGACACTGTAATCAGCCCTTGAAATGCAGTGCCACCGCAAAAGGCAGCACTTAAACTTCAGGTGCGGGTGTTTGATGCTGACTCTTCCAAAGGGCTCAGTGTAAGGTGGCCTACCCTGCCTCAATTGCCCACTTGACTGCATTTCTGACGTCCACGCCCTTCGCTTTGTAGGTTCCCAGGCCGAGCACTGGCATCTCGAACCCCGTGTTCAGGGTCACGCTAGATGTAAGTGCCGCACACTCTGACGCCATCTCTTCGTATGTAATCTACCTAGAATCAGTGAGAGCACCGAACTAATGGTGGGGCACCCTTCAAATGCAACATCAGGAGCTGAAGTTGCAAGGTGGCCAGAATGCAGGACACATTCTTATGACACGAATGAGCACCAGAAAGCACGTCAATGCTTCACTTTTCTGGGCAGGCTCAGAGTAAGGAAGGGACAACGCTTTGAGAGGTTGGTTTGAAGAAGAGGCGCTTCTTGGAATCCTGTAAATGTTACTGTTCTGCAATTTAAGCAGGACGGTGGTGTCTTGCTTCATCTTGCTTTGCGCTTTCGGAAACATTCAATTTCGAAACAGGGGCCATTATAGGATCTCCTCATCCTTGCCAGCTGTCTTTCATTGCCTGCCGTTGCTCACGTCACTTGGCGCCATAAATTGCAAAAGGTACAGGTGGCGGCCTGTCAAAGCCGGCAATAGGAATTGCTCACGTCAGAAGATCGAACACAATCGGACACGTGATCGAGAATCCAATCACATTGCAGCGACGGTTGCCACGGAGGCCGTCACATTGCATATTCAATATCATATTGTCTTCTCAGTCTTGTTGTTGCTCTTGTGCAGCACCTCTTGCGTCTCAGTCCTACCAAGTGAAGGCTTCATCTCGTAAGTAGGTAGTCCTGGGGACGAGGTTCGCTCGACTGATTCCATCCCTCAAAAGACCAACTTCAAACCGGAAGAGGAAGAAAGCTAGACGCATTCTCCCTATTTCTTGAGGTTGACAGGGACTGGGCAAAGTCCCTTGCACTGGCCCTTTGCCTGAGCTCCCTCCTTCAATTTAGGCTTCAGGCCAGTTCCAAAATTGCGCTCAAAGCCCTGCCTGGATTGTTGCCTCAATTGTTGCTTAAAGACCATGGCAGCCGTGCAACAATGTTTGGTGAACGGAGCGCCGAGGTCACATCCAGGCTTTCCTAGTGGCAGCAATCAAGTTGCTTCTTTCACATTCATTCAAACGGGTGCTAGAGGTCCAGTATCTGCTCGTTGCTTGCTGCCGGCGCACTCATCAGCTTCAAAACCAATCTGCACTTCTCATAAGGATTCTCCCAGATCTGCCTTTTCCCTTGGTAGCTCCCTTTGTGGAGCTAAGCTTCGTCCAGCAGAAAGGGACATATTCTTCAGCTGCAGACAGTCGGCCCAGTCTTTCTTCATCGGGCATCGATCTGGATCGCCAGTAAGGGTTAAGGCAGCAGCTCAGGCGCAGAGTATTCAGCAGGCGGAAGAGACAAAGGACAATCAGTTCCCTTTCCACCTGGACACGGCAGTCTTGCTGGCAGGGTTTGCGTTTGAGGCGTACAACGATGCGGAGGTGAGAGGAATGGAGGAGTCCTCTGTAATGCAGCAACCTGAGCTGACTCCAGATGACAACTATCAAGAAATGTGATCGTGTTCAAATCATATTGCCAAAGTTTTGTGCCTTGCAGATCAAGTGAGGCATCAAGTAGAATATCAAGAGGAGCTGGGACGACAGTACACAGCAGCATTTACCCTCTTTTTTGCAAGCTTCAGTTGGCTCTTACTGCGTGCAGCTTCTGACTGGTCATAGGCAGATTTTGAAACCTTTCTCTTATTGTGGGGCAGTTAAAGCAGTACTCAACACGTCTGGAAGAATAAACACAGTTAATGCTGAGCATACTGGAAGGTGGCATAATGTGTCGTGGCGATCCTTTGATTGTCCGGTCAGAGCGGGCAGAGTCTGCCGATTGGAGACCAGTTCTTGTCTGCAAGTGCCCCAAGCTGCTCTTCCTCCGGTTGGGGGCAGCCTTCCTTTCAAGTAAATCAGATTCTCAGAGGCTGAGGAGAGTACCTAGGACTGTCCTTAGTCTAGTGTCCTCCTGTCGATCCTCGACATGTACCCTTTCTTTCGTTCTTCTGAGCTTCTTGGACTAGTATCTTGTGCATATCATTGCTGATTAAGGGGCGGTAAACTCGCTATTTCGGAAGCACCAAGCTTGCTGCTGAAAAACAATAAACTCGGATCTCTTGCAGGAGGGTATCCAGGAGCTCAGCTCCTGTGGGACAGAGAGCATCTTCCTGAACGAGTAAGTGGACTTCCCAGTAATGAACCTTCCTGCTCTGACATCAGCAAAGCAGATTCTCCATATTTAGGAACTTGTTCAGGCTGGCTGCTTCCATGTTATACTGCGCAGAACTCGCTGCTATTTCCTCTGCCTATTGCCTTATCAAAAAGCAGAGGCTGTCTATTTGCGTTAATCACCATGAAGCCAATCAATCATCGGAGGCCTGTACAGGTTTAGTTGGCGGCACTGCGAGGGGCCTATGACGCGCAGATGTTTCTTCGTCTGAGGAACTGGACTTGTCCATCGATGCGAAATGTTGAGCTTTGGTTCTTGTTACAAGACTTTCTTAACTCGAAAGATGCAATTCTCTGCAAGTACACTGGAAGAATCTCCAGCGACCTGCCAAAATTTCAGAATGTTCGTGAGACTCTTAGCTGCCTCGCCCGCTTGTACTCAATATGCAGACTTCTCTTACGGAACCGCATGATCGATCTGCGCCACTAACGCGCGGTTGATTGCTTTAAGCAGGGACTTCGTCAAAGAGCTGTACCAGGGTCAGCTGAAGGTGAAGCTTGAGTCGGCTTCTGACCTTCCCGGGAAGAGCCTGACAGGAACAAGCGATCCGTACGTCGTTCTCACGGTTGGGGACAGCATGGTCCGGAGCGAGACAATGTGGAGGTGAGGAGCTAATCGTTTCCAACTCTATGAATCCTGGGAACCGGAAGGCTTTGAGATTAGACGCTGAGATGTGATTATCTAGCTGTGACGACGTTGAATCACAACTCCCTTTTAGGAAGTGCACTTTCTGGTCGAGACCAAGATCAAGAGAACGCTGCTTTGTTCGATCGTCTCAATCTGCTTCGCAGAAGTCCTGTATGAAACCGGTGTCTCGTTGGTCCTTCAGCGACGTTGGCCGGAGGGTGAGTTGGGATCGTTTCGATGCTTTTTGACGCTCTCACGCGCAACCTTTGTAAAGCTTTAGGAGTTTAAGCGGGCCAAAAGCCAAGACCGATTTCCGGGCTTGCTTCACTGGAGACAGCTTCACTTGCCGCCTTCGCCAAGCAATGACAAAGACCCAAGGTTCGTCCTCTTTTGCGGCACCGAATGGCTCAGACGTACGAAAGCGACATGATGTGATACGACGTACAAAGAGGATTGTTACCAGGCTCTCTGTTGAACTGAATGTGCATCATCGTATTTATCGCCATTTGTTCTTCTTCAGGGACCTGGCTCCCACGTGGAATGCTGATTTCAGCATCTTCGTCAGTGACGCATCCCGGCAGTTGTTAAGCGTCCAAGTCTTCGACGAGAACGTGGTCGGTTCGGACGTTCTCCTTGCGAGCGGATCCGTTCCGCTGGACGGGTTAACGGACGGTTCCGAGCAAACCCTGGAGGTTGACCTGCACACGGACCTGGACGACACGAAGAGTGCGGAAGGCGATTCGGATGCGGCTGGTCCGAAAGTCCTGTTAAAGGTTCGGTTTGAAAAGATAAACGAGGACACGGTTCTGAACCGGACGTTGAAAGCCAAGAAAGAGGAAGAAGAAGAGAAAGTGGGGGCTAAAGAATTGGTCGAGAAAGTGTCTGGTGCGTTGAGGTTGGGGAAAGAGGGCGAAGGAGAAAAGGCGAAGCTCGGGTTCTCGACCGATCTATGGGGGTCTCATAGCGAACGGGAGTTGACAGAAGGGGAGGACGTAGAGGATTTGAACGATTCCGAGTCGGACGACGACGATGCTGACGTGGAGGTGACGTCAGCAGGCAAGAAAACGTCGCCGAACGCTGCTCAAAATGGCCTGAAAGGCCAGCGGACAGGTTCCGACGAAAAGCGGACGGGTTCGGACGGAAAGCGGGCGGGGGGAGGATTCAAAGCGAGCGTCCGAACGGCGGAAAAGCGTACGGGAAAGAAGAAGCCGGACGGCTTTTCGACGGACCTTTGGGGGACGCACAGCGAGCGGGAGCTGTCAGAAGAGGAGACGGTCGAGGATCTCAACGACTCCGAGGACAATGACGACGACGATGACGTCAGCGATGACGAGGGCGCCCCGTCAGCGAGCGTACGGCGCAAGGAGAAGAGAGCGAAGGTCGTGGAGAGCGCCCGGGAGAGCCTGCTAGAGAGCCTGAGCCAGGCGGCCAAGGCTGGGGGAAGTCTAAAGGTTCCGGCGGGGCGGGGGAACGGCCCCAGGCTGGGGCTCGGGAAGGCGTTGCTGGCGTTCGCCACGTGTCCCTGTCCGTGCTGTGTTGCCGAGTTGCTTTCGGACGGTCCGAACACGGTCCGCGCGGTTCCGGAAACGACAGTTAGTGAAAAGGGGACAAGTCCGCAAAACGGGCCGGAAAACGCGGCGGAAGTTTTGGCCTTGAAGCACCTGCTAGAGGTGCCGTGGCGGGAGCGGAGCGGTGCCCTTTGGAACTCGCCAAAAGCGCAGAAGGAGGTGATCGTGGAGAAGAAACTAGAGCGGGAGCAGAATGAGATGGCGCGCGTGTTTGCGGACGCGGAGAGCGCGGTCGAGGCGTGGGCGGTCCTGGCATCTTCGCTGGGAAAGCCGGGTTACGTGAAGTCCGAGTTTGAGAAGATGGTTTTCGTTGACCACCAGGGGAGCGACACCCAGGTAATTCGGATCCCGGTTTTGAGTACTCGTGACTTACAGTCTTTAGGAGTATGGTATTTGGCTGCTTTCAAAACTTGTCTAAGTGCATCTCGTTGGAGAGGTAAGAATGTGTGAAAGCTGCAACTGAGCGCCAGATACAGAATAGAACTTCTATCTACAACCATCCGTCCTTAGGTGCATTTGCACTTCCCAGAACGATTCTGCCGACTCAAATTTCTCTCCGGAAAGTTCTTCGAGCCTGCTGTGTTCAACAGCGAAGTTGGATCTAACGCATGGTTCGACAATATGCAGCGGTGATTTTGTGGTTGGTCAATAGATGATAGGATTCACTGCTTCAAAGCGAGAGGTTTTTTCAAAAAGGCGAATCTCAGCTGCTTTACCTGGTTTTGTTTCTATCAGGCAGCGGTCTGGAGGGATCCCCGGCGGAAGAGAATTGTTGTGGCGTTCCGCGGGACGGAGCAGACGGAGTGGAAGGACCTCGTTACTGACGTCAACCTGACACCAGCAAAGTGAGGGTCCTGTTGTTGGTACTTTGCCATGAAAAGCCTTCAAATGCTTGGTAAACGAAGCTCAGGAGGGTGCGGAATCTGATTGCAAACCGTGGAGGACGAAGAGTAATTGGTTGGGGCTTGGAATGGCAAACAGTGTACGACGCGTGCTCGTAAGTCGCACGTAGTTGTCAGACGAACGGTCAGAGCCCACGAACTGATCCACATACCTCAAAATATCTTTTCTAAGCAGGAGCCCCACACTCGCAAGATTCTTCCTGATATTGAAGGCCTGACGTTTCGTAAGTAGAAAGTCTGCGCGTCCGTTCTCTCAGGACCAAGATCGACGGCGAGGAGGTGTGCGTCATCCCCGAAACGAAGTATTTGATGTATAAAAGTTACCCTTTCGAAGTCCAAACTTTGCACGTCTACTTCGTCAGGTTCGAGGTCGACGGCGAGGAGGTGCGCGGCGACGGCGAAGAGGGCGACATCATCCTGCACGGCGGTTTCAAGAATGCGTACGACTCTGTCCGGAGCCGTCTCCGGACGATCGTCCGAGCGCTCAGCGAGGAGCCGGGGCTTCCACCGCCGGGAAGGCTTGACACCAGCACGGCCGGCGCTGGCACTGGAGCAGGCGCCAGGAGCGGCGGTGTCAAGAAAAGCACTGGAGTGGGAGTGCAGAGGGGAAATGACACGTGGAGTCTTTTGGTTACTGGGCATAGTTTGGGGGGCGCTCTCGCGACCCTGTTTGCGGCGGAGATGGCGATGGCGGCGGAAGCGGAGGGGGCCCGGATCGGGCACGTGACCATGTACAATTTCGGTGAGGGGCCAGAAAAGTTTCCAACTAACGACCCGCTATGTTACCTAGGCTGCAACTCAATGAAGAGGTCTTACTTTTCCTTCAGCACCTTCATTCAGCTGTCTTACTCATTTCTACATATGTTACCGAGTAATGGTCTGAGTACAGAACCTTGCGAGTTCCTGATCCTTTCTCTACATCATTCCTTGATTCACTCCGACTTTCCAATCCTTTGATTTGGTCTCGGGTTATGGCGTTTTGCTCAGCAACAGAATGTTGCAGTCGACGGCAGGCCAGGTTTTGACCTGTGCCAGAATTGCGCGCCTCGCATTGCCACCTGTGCCAGAATTGCGCGCCTCACATTGCCTCCGTCGTTCGCTCCTCTGATGAGTTGCGGAAAATCGGCCTCTTTTCATTGGTCAAGTCAAAAGCGGTGCGCTTCACTCTTGTAGTACGCCGATTGCTCTTCAAATAAGTTGCTCTCTTTCCAGGTCTTCAAAATGAGCTTAATGTGTAACTCTGAACCTTCTAAATTTTAGACAATCTGAAATGCAATCTTACAACCCTGGATTCCCGGTCAGAGGTCGTAAGAGATGCCTACACTTTTCTGACACACTCTTCACGGTTTTGTTTTGCAGGGTCGCCGCGAGTAGGGAATCACGCCTTTGCCGACTTTTACAACAGGTACGCGGCGCTCTTGTCATCTCCCAGACGATCGTTGCCTCCAGTGTAAAGCAAAAGAGCTTGAAAGGCAAGACAGAAATGGTTGCGAGGGGTGCAAAGGCGAAAACTGAAAACACCGTCTCTCCGGGTTGTTCCGTTTGGGCCGCAGTTGATGGTCACGAAGGTCCGATCAATTGAGAACCGGCCAAGCCGGCCAAATCTTGCAGCTTGCGAATTGATGCGGTCTCGATTGTTGCAATCTGCCACAGTCGCTGCCTTTGCCCTGTTCTCGATAATGCATCTCTGCTCGAATCTGTGTGCGGTACATCCTTCTTTCCTCCACTTCGTCCATTCGGATGTCCGCTCAGAAAGTCCGCGCAAAACGTCTTGGTCCAAATAAAATCACATTTAAGCCAATCATTCTCGTAAATGCTGGCGCCAGAACCAGACGTTGGTACACCCGTCACCCTCTTATTCCGCAAGCAATCCCGGCTGCAGACGAGTGCCGGACACGTGGCGCCTCGTCAACCGCAACGACGTCATCCCGACGGTCCCGCGGATGCTGGGCTACTGCCACGTGGGCAACGCTCTGATCCTGGGCGACAAGCCGGGGGCGCCGGTGAGAAACCCGTTTGGGTTTGGATTTGGGTTGGACTCGGCGCTAACCTGGTCACTCAACCAGCTTTTAGGTCGTTTTGTGGATTGGCTTGGACATGGTTTTGGTGCACAGTGTGTAAAGCATCGCCTTTGTCCGCATATCAGATTCGGACGAGCTATCTTCGGGCAATGATGCTGTATTTTGAAGCTGTTAACCACTCAAGTCAAGTCACGTAAGGCTTTTCGTCTCGTTTCACCCCTTCCAGACGTGCACTTGACACCTCGGGCGTTGCCCTCGCGAGTCTTTCCTCTCGCAGAAACTCGCTAGTGTAACTTAGGCGTTGGGAAGCCAAACGTCGTGGCACTCTTCTGTACCCTAGAACCCTGATTGTTGACATCCTTCATTTCTTACCACCCTTACAACCTGAAACCATTCTTACTCCTAGTCCACAGAAAATGAAATTTCCGATTCAGATCTTTCTATCCTCAACCCGGTAAAAATAGGCTTAGGACGTCCACGTCCTTTCAAGGTTTCACGGTGCTTTGACCATCACCAAACCGACGTCCAAACTGTGGGCGTCAAAAATACGACGTCGGTCAGCACTTGCGGGTGACGATCTTCGGATCCCGACTCTCAATTTAAGCTGAACCTCAGGAGTTCTTTCCGTAGGTTGGGGCCGAGGAGCACAGCTCGGACGATCCTTGGCCATCTTGCACTCTAGAAAGCTAAATGTTGACAATCTTGACTTCAAACGACCTTTACATCCTGAAACTATTGTTTCTTATAACCAGAGATTCTCACCCCTCTGATGCAGATCTTTCAAGGGTTAAGCTAACCTTAGATCGTCTTTCCGTAGGTTGAGGCCGAGGAACACAGCACGGACGATCCGGACGTCGCGGAAGCGGACGCCCAGGAAGACATACTGGGAGAGGTGTCCGCAAAGGACTTCCTGCCTAAACTGGTGAGACCGAGAAACATGCACTCATCTTGCTAGTCTGCTCGAACGAGTTTGGCGGCTGATTGGTCTCAGCCTTTCTTTTCGTAAGGTCGGTTGACTTTGTCCAAGGCTGGTTTAGGTATTGCGGACTTTGCATCCAATACTGCTGAGCAGCTTCTAAGCCTTTGAATCCTTGTCTTACTGCCGCGGTCTTAGGAGGTACACAGAATCTCAGAACTAGGTCTTGCATGATGCATCGTCTACCACCGCGGCAACACATGGGACCAGGTCAAAGGAGCTTCTTATCCACGTTTGCTTTTCTCAGTGTCGCAAAATTCTCCTTCATATTCACAATTGTTTCCTTTTTTGAGTTTCCAGTTGGCTTCTGTTCAAAACACGCTTGTTTCCTTCTTATGCACAGTTGAAAGGCGAGAAGACCCTTCTGAAGAAGGTCGTCGAGAAAGAGCTCGCGATCCTGGACGCGTTCACGGACGGCAGCGCGCTGCTCCAACACATGGAGGACTTCTATTACAAGGCGCTGCTGCAGGTGGGCATTTCCTCCAACTTTCCTTCCCTCTGTTGAAGACTTTCCTATGCTTCCGTCACGGATTTGGGGGTGGATAACGAGGAGCGACTGTTCAAGTCTTCGTACCGCTCTCTAATTCTCCGCTATTTACCTTATCAGCCTCAGCTTTCATCCCCTCTTCCTTTATCTAGTTCCTAAAGGTTTTATACCTCCTCAAATATTATTCTGCGCTCGAACAAGTCCCTCCTCCCTTCTCTTCTTCCGATCTCGCTCTTCCGATTGTAAATGACTTTGCGCATCTTCGCACGCAGATGGTGGAACTTCACATTGGCAGGGGCGTTGATACTCCGCAAGTCGCCCAGGCTTGATTGATTATCTCTTGGGCGGATTCAGTCGACCTTGTCACTTGACTCCCGCAGATTACAGGCCCTCTTTTCACTGTCGGTTGCATGGCTGATATGTAGTGTGTGTGTGTTGTCAGCACTTTGTACGGCGGTTTTGCGCGTTGAGGGTTATAGAGTAGGAGTTGTTGCGAACATCAACCGGGACGGTCAAAATATTGAAGACATTGTAGGCTATAGAATTAGAAAGACCTCGTTGCTTTGCGGATTGACGCTGACGATACCTAGACGACGCGTTTGGTCAAAAGAACAATTAGCTTAGGCCTTTTATGATGCTATGATGCAATCTATAAACTGCGACTTGTATGCTAGACTTTCGTAAACGTTGTGTTCATTGTGTTCATTGTGTTCATCAAGCCTAAGTTGCACATGAGTTAACTTGTTGTACGGTCAGTGACTGCATGTTAGCAGGCAGCTCTTTGCACTGCAGCGGACGATTAGATTCAGTATGCGGCTAGAGCTACCGCGTCATATGTCATGCCAGCATGGGCGCGGCGCCATCCATGCATGCTGGCACATGACGTGCACGTACCGGCTCAACATGCTGGCCGCTTGGCTGGTCCATCCGACATAGTCCTAACAGTTGACGCGGCGCCCTGCTTCAATCGAGTCGGATCGACTGGCCGCGGCTTACTCCGGTCTAGCTCGATCATGACTCCCGAGTTAACGTAGGAGTGCGTCAAGTGCACTGGGCGGCGCACGCGATAATGTGCAGTCCAACGCAGTGCACCTGATTCGTTCATTGCTTTGCTCGAGCCTTTCGTGCAATCATTCGATCTCAGCGATACGCTCACCTATATAGGCTACCTGTACTATACATCCAGTGATTGTAACGACCGATGGGATTATGAGCGCGGCTTGGTCCGATCATCGATATGACAGTCACTCAGTCAAATTCAGGGTTGCGCTGGCACACGCTTCGCCCGACCCTTTGAAATGGATGCATACAATGTCGTAGACTACACGTACGTGCAACCCTTTCCTGGAATCGGACTTCAAGCAACCCCAGTTTGCATCCAAAGTGCGCGTGCAAACCCCCAGATCAACTTCTGAGCGGTATAAACTGCAAAAATATTCTACTTCAAAGGAGTTTGTCATCGGATCGTCGCATACATATTAAACTCTTCGCTTGTGAAGCGCATCGGGTGTCCCATAGCTCGTACTACATCTCTGCGCATAAAGAGCAGGAACGTCAGAACAGGGAATGTGTGCGGACCACTCCCGAACGCTGCAGGTAGTCACGGTGCAAAACGGGCTTGTGTAGTCAGGAGTCAGATACAGGGACATCACTACGGTATGATGAACGATGACTTGCAGGGCTGATCTAAAGAAGCTCGTTTTCAAAAGTGTGCCGAACGCTAACTGGACGCCTGAAAACCACAATTCACACTTGAGCTGCCACACCTTACATGAAACCCCAAGTACAAGCGACTAATCCCATGTGCTGCGATTGGGGACAGCTGCCAGCAACCTGCAAGCGGCCACTCAAATCCTCCGCAGTAGGAGGAGAGAGACTCACGTGCGTGGTCCGTAGATCTTGACTTGCCGCATGTGGGTATCCCGCCCGTTCTGGTGGCTGGCAAGCACGGCCACTTGGACCAAGTACGCGCGCAGAAAAACGGAACTGCAGGCAGCGCACATTAGAAAGGGGTCTCAGCAAGCGTTTTGCCAATAACGAGCGTATGGGTTTGGTTGGACGATTGCGACGTAATCGCCGCGGATCGGAACGGATGCGGGGGGACCGTTCGACGTTAAAGAGGGGCAACGGTCCATGTCGAGGGTCGACGAAGAGAAAGATCAGCTGAGCCGGCTATGCTTGGCGGCTCGTACAAAGGCAATGCGACTGAGCGGGTAGATACCCCAAGACTCTCGCAAATGTGGGGCGAAAAGAAATGCAGTCATTCTGGCTACAAGACACTATGAGACGCTGTGCTATGGTTCAACCAAGACTCTCGGGACCGCAAACGTCAGCGTACTTGTGGTTGCGGACGGTATGACTTACCTCGAGTCGTTTGGTCTTAGCGAGATGTAGATCCATCCAACGGGCTCTTCTAGGTCGACTTGCCGTATTTCCTGTGGAGAAGGCGCGAAGGGTTCGCTGCCAGCACGAGGAGGTGCACAGCTTTGAATGGAAAAAAGCGGCGGGTTATGATTGCAGTTTCGTTCAATCAAAATGTCCGTCTCTACTCGACCACCGGCGCATCACAATCATGCAGTGTGGGAACTCACGTCCTAAGTCCTACGATGTTCGACAACAAGCGAGTCGCAAACTTGGTTGCTCCGCTGCAAATCTGTTCAATAATCTCAATCTCTACTCGACCACCAGCACACAAAGAGAGTGCACCATGCAAACTTATTCTCAAAACAAGGAGTTAAGGGAGATCAGCCACAAAGCGAGTTCCGAAGTTTTTATCTGCTCTACAATCCGTATACTCGTTCCTGCCTGAGCTCTACCACCAGCACCTGAAACGCATGCCGTGCAGAACAGACCTCGACCGTTTGTAACGATTCGACTGAACAAAGGCGGTCAGAAACAGAGGGAAGACGAACTTTCCTGACACTGGATTGAAAGGTGCACAGACGTCATACAGAGGGGGGGCCGTCGTTATCGAGTTCCCGAATGGTTGTTCAGCGCGAACTTTCGGTAACAAGAGGTTAATAAACACGTAGCGGCACTTCAGCACTGAGTCAGCGGTAAGAGCGGGAAGAATTTCTCAGGAAGCTTTCGTGTTTGGAAAGAACCAAACCTTTCCAGAAGCTGGAGAAAAGAGACCCTCACCCGCAGATCGTGGAAGCTATTTCCCAACCGGACCGAAATTTTGCTCGGTGTGTAGCTCTCGTCCAGCTTGAAGTCGATGTAGATGGCGATTTGCTGCAAGGAACATTTAATCATCATCAGAGTCGTACTCCTTGCATTGCTTTTGAGTTTATCTGTGAAGGGATTCAGATAATGCACAGAGCCGAGAAAGGTCAGTCAGACTCAGGCGAAAGGCTCTGCTTTTCACTTACAAAACGACGTGCGCCTCAGAGAGACTGCCCCCCCTCGTGCTTTAGTCCCGTTTTTGGCTCGGAACAACACTCGTTCTGAAAAGACGGATTCCATTTGACCAGCAGACTTGTACCGGGGCCGGGCAAGGGAACAAGACAAGCGCTGTTTCCTTGTACGAGGAAGTCTTTTCAACCACCAAAGAACAAGACCCCCAAAAACAAGGCCTGCGTTCAACGCAACTGGCTTGAGGCAAGATAAAGTAGAACAACGCCTTACCTGTAGCTTCACTTTTTTCTGGAACTGAATATTTACAAGATGGGGTTGCGCCCCGTCTGATCTGCAGGAAGAGGGGGTGCATTCCTTTTCAAACGAAAAAACGTATCGAACTGGGGTAGATATTAGCCTTTCTTGCAAAACAAGCAAGGAAACAGTCTCACTTGCATACAAACCGTTTTTCTATTCAAGCATTTACGCAGCCGTCCCATATGGAAAAAGAAGACGTTTCAACACTAAACCGAAGATGCTGTGTCAAGCGTTCGATTTTGAAATTCATCTTGACACCATGTCAGAATCATTCACAGTCTCGCTGACTCTTTTTCAGTTTTGCCAGGCGGTCAGAAAGTAGACAAATCTATATACCCAAACAGGCAATCAGAATAAGTAAACAGATTCTCAACAGCAGCAAGCCAGTTCTAAGATTCTATGCCTGGAACCTTTTGCGTTCAAAGGGGTGTGGAGGCACCAACTCAGCAAGAAGAAGTCAGATCAAAAAGAGGAATTCAACTCAATCTGTTTCCTGGAAACGGGTTCAACTTTTCAAAGGGTCTAGTCACCTACTGCCAGTATGTTTCAAGGTTGTCGTCCCTCATGAGCTCAACCCCATTCCCCGGCTTTGCGCTTGTCACAGTCCACACCGCCAGCTTGCCAATCTCCCGCTTCTCTTCCTCATCCTCCCCCTCCTCGTAAGTTGCCGCCTCCGCTTCTGATGATACAAAATCAGTACAAAAGGGTAATTGAAAGGAATGTAAGGGCACAAAATCCGTCACATGGTTGCAGGCGAAGAGGGCTCAGGAGCGGACGGGAGGGTCCTCAATTCTCCTTGGTTGCTGGATCACTTTGTGAACATATGTCTGAGGGATTGCAATGCATGAAGAATCATCTGGACAATTGGGAGAACGATTGGAAGCATCAGCAATCTCTGCGAGTTTCTGCGACAGATTGGGCTTATTCTGGGGGTCATAATACGTGTATAACACCTTGGAATATGCTTTACTTTTGGAGGCAGGCAGCTCTAAAAGTACCATTAAAAAGCATGAGGAACAGAGCATACACTTATTTGTCCTTTTGGACTGCGTCATTCAAACACTTTGACCACCAGGTGCACCTGCAATGCAATGCCTGCAGCACTTGTGCAGGACTTGTGCAAACTCGTGTTTTATATCTGATTCTCCACATCAAAAATCACCCACAATGAGGCAAATATGACTTGGTGTTTGATCAATCCTAAAAAATGCATTAAATTCATTGGACTTACCGGCCATTCTTCAACCACCTCTGCCGTGGAGGCAGCCCCAATTGCTAAGAGTTTTTGGGCTGTAGTTTGAGTTTTTCTGGCTGATCTTTGCGGTGGTGCTCAAGCACGTGCAGGATCAGAGGCTGCTCCCATAAGGTGTCTCAACAAAGGTGGCACAGGGCCGCCGCTTGGATTCACATATGAACTCTGCACACTATTAAAGTACGATGACTGCCCCAGAAAGTGCACCCAAAAAAGTGCACCTCCTTGACGCACAGAATGTTTTGCAAACTCAAGGACTGAAGTTGAAGTCCATGAGCACGGATTCGTGCAGCCCAACCCGGTGTTTGCCTGATGGGTGGCACTTGAAATACGATCCAACCAGACTCCCTGAGCTTTTAAAAAGAAAGTTGAGCGCAACAGCAGTTTGTACCGCCTTCTTCCAAAAGTGCAAGCAAGGAAACCTTTTGCCAGACTCTCTCAATCTTGCGAGGGCAGCGCGCCGCGACTGACAATGCGCAAAATAGGCGAAGAAACACCATGGCCGAACGGTGCTAACATGGGTAGATTTGATGACGTGTCAAGCTTGTATGAGTAGCGCCGGTGGCGGCGAAACTCTGGTGGCGTCGGTGGCGTCGGGGCGTCGCCCCAACTGGATAACCGGAACCCTAGAATTTGAAAGTTAGGGTTTGCAGGCTTGGTCAGCAGCAGAAGGATGTCAAAATCAGAGCTGAGCATCACGAGTGCTCTGAAAGCCAGATGAACTCAACCCACAAGGTTCCTTGCACATCTTGTTCTCC